TATTAACAAATGAATGGAAAAATTCAACGGTTCAAGGCAGTCCTGAAAGGTTTCGACTCACGTGAAGTGCCCTACTGATTACCGTAGCTTGTTGAGCGAAAACATATCGTCAATGTTTTTACAAAACCGCCAATCGACCAATTGCGAAACCGCCTATCTTATGGCACTCTAATTTTGCAGGAGAGCGAAAAAGCGGTTTTTCTTTGAAGGCATTGCCTTGATAGGCGATATTTTCTCTAGCTATTATTTTACAAATCTGTTGTTTTAATAAAAATTTTTATACATAAATCTCGATGCCGGGAGTTCTGGGTTACCAAATGGCATTTTTGCAAAACGGCGTATTAGGTGGTTTTGCAACTGGTCGATGGACGGTTTTGAAAAAACGTCAACGATTTGTACATATTTACATAGAACTTTACTCATATGGTTGCCGGAGTACACGGGAATATTGATGGCAAATGCAAAGCTGCTGAACTGACAAGGAAAGGTAGGACCTGCCACAACCTTCCAGGATAGGACTCAGTAGATATAGCAATAGCAACTTTCACGTAGTTTGTTAGAGATCACACCATTCAAGAACCAAGGAACGCTGGACCAACTTTTCGCCTAGCGAAACTTTCAGGATTACTGGTTATTTGTATAAAAAGAAACGCTTACGGGACACATCCTAATGTGGAATCAGTTCCTGTATTGATCTATGTAACATGTAGGACCGAATCGAAAAAGTTACCAAATTGACAAATAAATTACCAAATTACCAAATTTGATAAGTAAAGAAAAAAAATTACCAAAGCGGCAACGCTGCCAACAACGCTTTGAAAAGTACATCTTCGAAAACTACAACTCGTTCAAATTCTCTTCGCTCTCTTAGCCACGCTGGTGTCATCCCCGTTGTTTCTCTCTGTGCGCCTGAGCCTATCAGTGTGACTACATCAACAATAGCAACCACTAACACTACTGCTAACTCTGCTTGCGTCGGTATCGGAAACATTAATGTCGGCGTGACAACATTAACGGCCCGTCTCCACAGGCAAAAGTTTTTGCCTACCAACTGTCATTTTTATTGCCTGATAAAAATTTTGTCAGAGGCAATATTTGTGCGTGGGCATTTTTTATCTTGATAAAAGCATTTGAAAGATGGCGTCAAACAAATATGTTCGCTGCCTTGTAGCGCTTAAAAACTTAAAAAGACTACAAAAAATTGATGCAGAAAGTCGAAAAAGGAAAAAACCCCAATTCTGGGTGAATCCTTTCTTGGAGCAAAGAGGACTCCACGATTTGGAAGCACATCTCTTAAAGGACATCTTATGGGAAGAAGTGCAAGACTTTACCAACTTTTGTTAGATGTCCATTGTCCAGTTTGAGGAGATTCTCTCAAAGGTATAGTTTTTTAATTAACTCTTTATAAAGATTTACGAATGTGAATAAAATATATACATATGTACATATGTATACCCGGGTATAGTTATATTATTTGTACAACGATTTTGGGTTGCTGTGCCAAAACACGTGACCCACATCAAAAAAATTGTACGTGCACCTGTAGACAAGAGTCTACGCATTATTAAAAAAAAATACTATATCTGTGCACTAATTTATTAATAAATTTGGTTTGAAATATGGTATTTCGTTGTACAATATCGTTGTACAAATAACTAAACATTTCCCGTATACACTCTTTAGGTGGAATCGAGAATAAAAAAACAAGATACCAATATGAGGTATGCTATTGCATCAAGAGTCCGCCTTGCTGTAACTTTGCGCTACTTAGCAACTGGGGACTCATTTCGGTCGCTGGAATTCCTCACCTACATATCGCGTAAAACGATAAGTAAATTTTTGCCGGAAGTATTGGAAGCGTTAATAGCTGCTCTTCAGGACGAATACTTGAAAGTAAGTTAGTAAATTTCATTTTATTTACATACGTGCAAATTATAAATAATTATCTCCTATAGACACCTACGACAGAAAATGAATGGTTAGATGTGGCTAATGACTTCGAGCAACTTTGGCAATTTCCGCACACTTTGGGTGCAATAGACGGAAAACATATCCGCATAAAAGCGCCGCCTAATTCTGGCTCAGATTTTTTTAATTATAAAGGCTTTTTCAGCATTGTTTTGCTTGCGGTTGTAGATGCTCATAGTCGATTCATTTACGTCAATATTGGAGCAAATGGAAGAGCATCTGATGTTATGGCATTTAAAAACAGCTCTTTACATGATAAGTTGACAAGAGGCCAATTAAGTATTCCCGCTGATACACCCTTAAAAGGACAGGTTTGCAAAACTCCATTTTATTTTATTGGCGACGATATTTTTGGTTTGAGCCGCCACTTAATGAAAGCTTACAACCGAAGTTCGAACCTGAATACTTCGCAAGAGGCATTTAATTACAGATTAAGTAGAGCTCGAATGTCGGTGGAGATGGCTTTTGGTAAGCTCGCTGCCCGTTTTCGCCTTTTTCACCGACCCATTGAGGTTTCAGTGGAAACATGTGATAGTGTTGTAAAAGTTTGTTGCATTTTACATAATTATTTATCACGAAAACTAAATCAGCCTCCAAATACACAATATGACAACTCTCGTGAACCTCTTCCGCCTACCATGTCTTGTCTACCACTTCAAGAGCAGGATACATACAAAAACGCAAGCAAAATTAGAGACAATATATGTAAATATTGTATAACAGATGGAGATGTTCCATATCAATGGATCAAAATAAAAAAACAAGTTGCAAAATAAAAAAATAAAACAAGTTGCAAAATAAATAAATTTTTTATTAATTCATTTCAATTTTATCTTTAGCGACACTTCAATATATTCATTTAATTAAGATTTTAAAATTACATATACATATTACTATGTATGCACATAGACACATTAGGTTGGATATATATAGTACTACGTACTTTAATATATTTTATTGCTTATAGTTAATAAACTTTTAAAGGAAAGCTTCTCATACATAAACACTATTTGGAAGGTTTTTAAAATTAAAATTTTGTTTTTGGTTTTTTAATAAAAAAAATGGTTCACGCTTAAGGGCTCTTTCCAGCTCTCAAGAAAAACGAAAAGAAATGGAAAAGAAATTTCCTTATATCAAAATTTCTTAAATCAGTTTGCAGCTTTGAAGAAAAAAGCGCTCGTATATTAATTTCCCTAAGAGAATTTATAGCAAAAGCAAAGTGTTTTTTCAATAAACAGAAATAATTAAAAATATTTCTTGTGATTTTTCTTGAGAGCTGCATTCTAAGCGTTAACCAAAAACTTATAAATTAAACTTTCAATTGTATACACAGCTTAGAAAAATCAAAAAAATTTTAATCAAAATTTTGAACTTTTTAATATGAATTTTTAGAACATTTTTAGGCATGCAGTTTTATTTTAGTCAAGTTTAGGATAAAAGTATTTAAACTGAACGTACGTTTCAAGTTTAAAATATGTATACTTGTGATCAGTTAATTAAGCCACTTTATTATTTAGAATTTAATGGGCTATAAAACTGCATACTCAAAAAAAAAAAAATATTTTAAAAAGTTCAGAGTTTAGATGCAACTGCAGGTTCATTATCGTTTTTGCACAAAGTTGGAAGTAGGTATAAATATGGTTTATAATATGTAATGAGCTAGGCTTTTATTAAAAAATAACAAACATCAAATAAACAAAAGATATAGCCAGAATTGATAAAAACGTTGCTGGCTTAATTAGCTAATCACAATTATATGTACATTAGACTGCATCACAAAAAATAACCGTAACTTTTTTTGGTGCTGCAGTATAATGTACATGTGTAATAATATTCACACTGCCCTTGAATTTGTGGTACGTTTTACGATCTTTAACTGACAATTCATACACTTGTCGATGGGCTTCGTAAGAACAGCGCAAGATGAAACGTCCAACAAGATGATCGCAAATTCCAATCAAATCGTAACAAACGTTATCAATGTGAGTTTTAATCTAATTCAAGGAAAATAAATTAGAATAGTAAAACTTGTTTGCCATGCATAGAAGGTAACTTCCCACTTACCTACGTATATAATGTAGCAAGTTAATTGGCTACCACTACACCAATGACAAATTTAAGCGCAAATGGGACCACACGCTCGACATGCACGCTGTTAGCAGCAATTAAATGCATTAAGCCCTCCAGTTTTATCACCAGCTCTGCCAAATCCTCCAGCTCGGTTATACCATACCGCTTTTCATCTTTTACAAGCCTCAATAGGATGTTGCAAGTGAGCGATCTAAATTTTTCGTTGAAAATCTAGGAAATATTTGAAAGAAAGATCACAAGTTAGTCATTCGATAATTTGCCGAAGGATCTTAATACTCACATCCGCCTTTATAGCACTAAATGAACATTTTGTTAAAAACTCAAGAAAGCATAATATATTTCTATACTCTATCAAGTCATCCAGATTGTTGGCTAGATTCTGCAGCATTAGCAGCAGATCTACAGTTCTTTTGTTACCAATTATCATTATACAGTCATCTCAGTTGTCTTTTAAGCGTTCAATAAGGTTCGATGCGTTTAACTCTGCATTCAATTGCTGCCACTAATGACTGAGCACAAATTATATCTCGTCCTGATCCAAGTGTAGCAGCTGCCGATGAATTAGTGCCACTTGCAGCAGACGTATTTGCTAAAATATGCTGTTATGTAATTGGAGTAAATAGCCAGTATGCGTTCAAAATGATTACACATGCGTTTAGGGGCAGGGCCACTAAGCACTGCAAGTGTTTATATGATGATCAATAAAAGCCGGCGCTGATCAATGCTAAGTTTGGTATCAGAAATATGCGTAGATTCTAAGTGGTTAGCGAAGGAAGTGAGAAATTGTGTCCTGACCTTCCCATTGTTGTTAAGGCGAAATATTTAAAGATTGGTACATGTTGGCCGAGGTCCAGAAAATCTGTGAAATGTGCTTTTATTTAAAATTACTTATGTCAAAATTTCGAAAATTGAAGATATTTAAAGTAATATTTTGCAGCTATGTATGTACATAGGTATAAATGCATGCAGGTTCTTATCTATTAAAAAATAGATGCACTTCTTAAAAGAAACCTATTTATATTGTCACATCATTTTACATTACCTGGAATATGTCCTGCTTCAATATCAGCGAGTTGAAACACAAAGCAGCACACAATGGGCCGTATGCATAAAAACTAAGCAAATGCTTTTTCTTAAAATTTCAGACCTTTTAAGAAAAATCAATTGCTTGTTTTTTATGCATACGGGCCAATATCTAACATTCCAACTTCTCGCAGGTGCGTTTGTTTGCATTGTTGAATGCAAGTTAAAAGTTGCTCACCCAAATATGTCATTGTCGGTGGTTGATTTTACAAATCCATTTTGGTATCTCAAATTACCAACGACTATGGCTAGTATTCAACATCATTGTTGTAGAAATAAGATCCTTTTGATTCAATTTAAACTGGTTTAAATATAGTTCTTGTTTTTTCTAGAAATTTAATAAAATAAAGTTCAGTAAAGTTGTCTGCATGTACATATGTATCTGAAAAAACGAATATATATTTACATATACACCAAATAAATAGAATTTATTAAGGTGTACTTAAACGTCTATAACTCACCGTATAATAGCACTCGCACTTGATTTAGGACATTCATTTAAAATTCAATGTCTGCTTCGCTCATCGCCAATTGCAAAATGTGTTCACTATCTATATGCATATATGTTTGCTGTTGAGACGCTGCCAAATGCCCGATAACCTTTCGAGTCACAATGTTGTGGATATCGGACATCGTCTGTGTTGCTTCGATTAGTGGCAATTGCTGAAGTTGCATTGCTATTGCTTTTGAAAATGATGTGAATACGTTATCCTCAATATTTGTCGTTGCCGATGAAATGATAGCATCTATGGCTTCATCAAACTTAGCATCATTATTGTTACTTCGCTTGTGACGTTGACGGCGCGAGGATAATGATGACTCTGATGAGGATGTTGATGGCGATGGTGATGATACTGGCGATGGTATAACCTCGATAATGTCCTCAGTAGGAGTTTGGTTTAAATCGTTCTCCTCGGCTTCTACGGCTATTTCAGCAATTGTCTGTCGTGAATATATAAAAATGAAGCAAATATTAAATTGGATATTTGTATCAGCAAAGGGGTACTGACAAGTCCAAACTTACACTATTCATATTGCATATTGTTTTTCGCAATACGACGACAGAGTCAAGGAAAGACATCTCTGAGAAATAACATAAATGCGGTTCATATACCGCATCCGCTGACACACCGGATTTTTTGCAACTATCAACTTTCTTTTTCTCCATCACATAGGCACTCCGCAAATTTTTGATTTTCTTTTTCACCTCCTCGACATCTCTTCCACACTGTTTGGAAATTTGCATCCACGCATTTTTTTTCAAGTCTATCCTTTTGTAAGAGGAGCTTTGGTAGTTCCACAAACATTCGAACTGCTTGTATAAATTTACAAGTCTTAAAACTTCGTCCATTCGCCAATCCATTATAGGTATATATGCCTTTTACTGCAAATTAGAGTAATTTTTAGTGTCTCACAGGTTTTTTTTAAAACGATGAAAATTATGTCGGAACTACACACAAGAAACTATTAATACATATGTAAGTACTTACTATTATATGTTTGTTATTTAGGTCAATACTTTTTATTCTATGCTTGACTATTTTTCCCTTTTTAATTGCTATTCTCCGAAATAAAACTCAAAATTGGCGCCGAACAAAACTTCGCGTCCAATTTGAATATGTTGCCACTGTGAACTTTTAGTAGAAGTGAAAATTAGCTGTCAAATGAACAAACTGACAGTTGATGGCAGGCAATATTTATCAAGATAAAAACTCTGACAATTATTGCTTGCCAAGAGCAATATGCGGTCTCCATTGGCAAAATATTGCCTGATAACATTATCAAGACAAAAACTTTTGCCTGTGGAGACAGCAAGTAATGTCCGCTACTACTAAGGGACCACTCTCGTATGCTGATGCTGTCTCTAATTCTGCCTCTGCTGCTAATTCGGCTGCTGCTACTACCACTGATGATGTTAGTTATGTACATTCTCAACTAAACGCTGATGCTCTGTCACTCCCGCCGGCTGAAGCTAATTTGGAATCGCCTGCACAGTGGACACGAATGCAAAGAAAAAAGTCCAAAAAGCAGACTACCACTGACGTAGTAATTGGTGTCAACAAAAGCACGGATCTCGACGTTGTCGCATCCAAAACCTGGATCCATCTGTCGTCCTTCAAATCTACTGTCAGTGCCGAAAATATCATAGCCTATGTAGCGAGACACTCCGCAATTGATAGCGGCCAAATTGCCTGCTTCCCCCTCATTAAAAAAGAAAAAGAACTGAAGATTAATTTTAAGCTTGGTGTCTCAACTACGCTCCTTGGCAAGGTTCTAGATCCTGCGCTATGGCCAGCCGACGTCAAAGTCTGACCTTTTCAATTTACTGAAAACGCTACCGGAAAAAATAAGATTGCCTAGCAACTACCTAACAAAAAAGTTTGTGAGTTTAAAGAACTAAAGATTTACTTTCAAAACATGGACGGTATTTTTGTAAGTGCTTATTCGGAGTTTGATGTTATTATCTTTGTGGAAACGTGGCTGAGTACGGACTTTTTTGATCAAAAGTTTTTTTATGCCAAAGTATATAATGTCTTTCGTAAAGACCGAGATGCAATAAAAACGGGCTGCTCGCTTGGAGGTAGTGTGCTAATTGCGGTACAATGGAGATTACGGGCTTGTCAAGTAACTCTTTGGAATTCGGATACCATTTTGGATCAATTGTGTATCTGCCTAAGTGGATCACCTGCTTATGGCTCCTTATATCTAATTGCATCGTATATTCCGCCTAATAGCAACTACTCCATTTATAAAGCACACACAGATAATATTGTTCACTTTGTTCATAACAACTTAGTTGATAATCATCTTTGTGTATTTGGTGACTTCAACCTTCCTAACATTTCGTGGTCTGGATGTTTCTCTAACTTGGGTCTTACTCCAACCAATATTACAGCTGCGCATGAGTCGTATTGTATAGATAATATCTTAAGCCTAGATTTAACTCAAATTAATTATTTTACTAACAAGCTTAATAGAATTCTTGATCTGGTTTTCACCAGTGCGAATATTAACACCACCATTTCCCAGTGTCTTTCCCCATTCTCTCCGGCAGAAAAACATCATGTCCCGTTATCACTTATGGTGGAATTCTATGAATTCTCTGTCAGCAAGTCTGAAGAAAAAGTTACGTTCAAATATGGATGTTGTGACTTTGATAAACTAAACTCTTGCTTGCTTGAAACTGACTGGGCGAATCTGTTCTCCAGCTTAGATGTTGAAAGCTGTTATTGTACTTTTAAATATCGAGTAAACGAAATCTGTCTTAAAAATATTCCAATAAAAAAAAAGGGCCTACAAACTTCCGTGGTACAATTATGAACTAAAAAAACTTAAGAACCAACGAATAAGTTTTTTAATAAGTTTAAAAAATCTAAGGTACAGTCTCATTTTTTACGGTATCAGCAACTGTTGAAAAAATTCAACCGCCTAAATAAGCTGCTTTATAGAAACTATATTTTCAGTGTAGAATCGAACATTAAATCAAATCCTAAAACTTTTTGGCACTACATTAAGTCTATCAAGTCCAGCGTAGGTGTTCCTTCTGCGGTTTGTCTTGGGGAAAAACTTGCTAGCTCACCTTTAGAAGTTGCCAATTTATTCGCCGATTTTTTTAAATCGAATTTTTTCTAATAACGACGTTAGCGACCCGTGCTACTCTTCTCACAATAGCCCACATTCATCACTAAACTTTGGCTCCCTAAGTCTTACTTCTGATGACATAATTCGGGGCATTAATTCTTTGAAAGTCTCAACTCAGACTGACATTGATGGTCTTTGTTCCGCCCTTCTAAAAAAATGCCCAGCGCTAATACCACCTATTAAATTTATTTTCAACACCTCACTACGTACTGGAGTTTTTTTGGATAACTGGAAAGTAACCACTATTACCCCAATTTTCAAAAGTGGCAAAAAGAATGATGTTACTAACTATAGGCCTATCTCCAAGCTGTCTACAATTTCTAAGCTGTTCGAAAGTATAGTGAAGGAAAAAATGTACTTTGCCGTTAAGAGTTTAATCTCACCTCACCAGCATGGCTTTGTCGCTGGACGGTCTACGCTTACTAACCTAACGGTCTTTAGTGAATACTGCATTGACACGTTTTCTTCTGGGCTCCAAGTTGATTGTATATACACTGACTTTTCCAAGGCATTCGACAAAGTATCCCATTGCATTCTGTTGCGCAAGCTTGCCACGATGGGTTTCCACTCTATATTCCTGAAGTGGCTGAATTCTTATTTAAGTAATAGGTGCTGCGTGGTCTCAATCGAGGGGGTATCTTCTACTCCATTTACTGCATCATCTGGCGTACCACAGGGTAGCATCTTAGGACCTTTACTCTTTGTTCTTTTTATTAATGATATAGGCAGCTGTTTTTCGTTCTCTAGGTTCTTGCTTTATGCGGATGACCTAAAAGTTTTTTCTTCGATTAAGAGTTCTGAAGATGCTTCTAGGGTTCAATTAGATATAAATAGATTGTACTTATGGTGTTTTCGGTCTCACCTACATCTCAATATTAGCAAGTGTTATCACGTAACGTTTTCCAAACTACGTAACGATGTGCAAACGTCATACAGTATCTCTGGTACTCCCCTTCAGTCAGTTTCTTAGATCAAAGACCTTGGTGTAATTTTCGATGCATCTTTTTTATTCAATAACCACATCAATTTTATCATATCTAAATCATATGCTGCGTTGGGATTTGTTCGTCGAAATAGTAGTAATTTTACTGATCCCTACACTCTGAAATTACTCTACACGTCTTTTGTTCGTCCAAAGCTTGAATATGCAGCACTCATCTGGAGACCTCATCATAAATTTGCCATCGATAGAATTGAGCGTATTCAAAAAGTTTTCCTTAAATATGCCCTTTCTTCCCTCAATTTCTCCACTCCCATCCCTCCGTACAATTCCCGCCTCCTTTTGATTAACCTTAAGTCCCTCGAAAGCAGAAGGACTATTCTTTCCTTGTCTTTTGTGCGTGGCTTGGTAAGTGGTGAAATCGATTGCCCCGCATTACTGCCTGCTATTCAATTTCTTATTCCTGCGAGAACACTTCGTTTTAATCTTCCCTTTTACCTCAAGGTCCTCAGTACGAATTACGCAAGAAACGCCCCGTTAGTGCGTGCACTTCGAGAACTCAACGAGATTTCGAATTCTATTTTGCTTGATTTTTCTTGGCCCATGAATATATTTTATAGTTTATTGAATTCAATTTATTTTAGTGCCTTCTGCACATTAGTTCTCTGTATCGTTTTAGTCAGTAAGAACCTTTGTAGTTTATTGACTTTTGAAATAAATAAATAAATAAATATAGACGTATAAATCAATAAATACGATTTTTCCGAATGGATCTATCCCTGGTCCACTTCCCGG